GTAATGTGGTTGACATAAAAGTAAGACATACAGATCAATGGAAAAGAGTGAGGCCAGAAATATACACCCCCAGCCACCCTCACATACATGCAGTTATATATGTACAGAGACAGACAAAGGTGAGGGAGAATGAATCAATTTTCAACAAGTGGTTGGGGAGCCATTTGATATCTACATAAGGGGGAAAAAAAACTCTACTTTTACTTCATACTATATGCAAAATTTCAACCATTAAACAATAAAAGTTATTTATAATACTTTTAAAACAAAATACAGGAGTAAATCTTAGTGATCTTAGATGAGGGCAAGATTTTTTAGCAGGGCAAAAAATGGTTTTATGAACCATAAAAGAAAAAACTGATCAATTAGACTCTTCAAAATTAAACAATTGTTTGCTCTTCAAAAGACACTGCTATGAAATCGAGAAGGGAAGTGACAGGCTAGGAGAAAATATTTGCATGATGTATATCTAACAAGTGAATTGTTTCTAAAATATCTGACAAAGCTTTACACTTCAATAATAAAACATATAATTACAAAACATAACAAGCAAATAATTTGAACAGACATTTCACCAAAGAAGATATATGGCTATCAAGTAAATACTTGAAAACATGGTCATTGTTACTAATCATCAATGAAATGCATATTAAAACCACATGATACCACTATACACCCTCTAGAACAGCTAAAAGTAAAAACTGATAATATAAAGTCCAAGGAAGATATGGAACATAAGAAACTCCTATACATTGCTGCCAGTAACGCAAAATGACAGATAATTTGGAAAATTTGGCAGTTTCTTAAGTATAAGCATGTATGTACTATATGAACCAGCAATTTCTCTCCTAGATGTTTATGTAAAATAAATAAAATCATACATATGTGCACAGAAGACTTACATGCTAATGTTCATAGCAACCTTGTTACCAATGACTAAAAATTGGAAATAATTCAAATGACCGTCAATTGGTCAATGGACAAACTATTACTTAGGATCCCACCACTACCCACTGCCATTTACTCAATTCCGACTCATAGCCACCTTATAGGACAGAGTAGAACTGCCCCATAGGGTTTCCAAGGCTACAAATCTTTACAAAAGCATACTGCTCATCTTTTTCCTTCTGAGCAGCTGACCACCGACCTTTTCGTTAGCAGCCAAATGCCTTAGCCACTGTACCACCAGAGCTCCTTATTACTTAGGATACTACTACTAAAGAAAAGAAACAAACTACTGATAAATGCAAAAATAAGGATGACTCTCAAAAGTATCAGGTTAAGTTAAAGAAGTCAGACACAAAGACGAGAGACTTATAATTTCATATATATGAAATTTTGTTGTTGTTGCCATGGAGTCAATTCCAAGTCATAACAACCTATATGATATTCTAGAAAAGGCAAAACTACAGTGATAGGAATTAAATTAGTGGTACCAGGGACCAGGAAGTAGCTGAAGGAGATCTACTACAAAGGGACTAAATAATTTTCAAGGGGCATGGAGATGTTCTAAACACAACTGTGGCAGTGGCTATATGACTGTACATATTTGCTAAAATTCATCCAATTGTACATTTAAAATTGGTGAATTTTATTGTGTGTAAATTATATGTCAATAAAATGTAAATAAATTAAAAGTAGCACATCAAATCTCTTGTAACATTTAACTATCAAAGAGTCAAAAGAATTAAGGGACACTTAATAAAGCTAGGAGAATTTTACATTTTAATACAATATGACTATTGTTACTATACAGATAAATAGTATTTGTTCACGGTAAAAAGTAATTGTTGCATTGGATAAAATTGGTAAGATGAATCCACTAGGCAAGGAACATAACAGCTTGTATATTACATGTATTTGTACTCCCAAATTGGCAGAACATTCTTTACATGCTACCAGTAAGAAAAATTTTGGAAAAACAGCTTTTATGTGGATCTACAAGTAAAAAAATTTCCAGTAATAGGATATAAAAAAATTCATCCATAAAAATGTGATAAACCATCTAAAAGCCAAATTAAATGAGCAAAAACTTTTAGAAAATAATTTTAAAATATCATAAAATACAAATGTTGTTTTTAAATCCCAGGAATAATTCACGTCTAAAGCTCTACCTCACTGCCACTTACTGAGCATCTTTATATGCTAGGAACTATATTAAAACTCCAAAACTCACATCAATCCTGACAGGTAGGTATAAAGAATTAGAGATGCTAAGTAACTTGCTGCTCACCCAGGTAGTTAAGTGGCAGAACTGAGATTCAAACCTAGGCAGCCCTGTAAAATCTTTTACTTTCTACTATACCATGTGACCAACCCAAAAGCACAAGAACTTACCAAAAGACAAATTCAATGTTTAGCTTATATAATATATGGCTATATTTTTAAATGTTTAAGAAATTAAAACATAAGACTATTGATGTTAAGCAAATTCTTGATAATTCCCTTTTCAATAAGTTTATCATTTTTAGAAGGAGCTCTAGTGACGTAGTACCTAAGAATCTGATTGCTAACCAGAACGTTGGCAGTTCAAACCTGCCAGCCACTCCATGGAAGGAAAATGGGGCAATCTACTCCTGTAAGGATTTACTGCCTTGGAAACCCAATGGAGGTCCCTTCGAGTTGAAATTGACTCAATGGAAGTCACTTAAAGAAAATAAGTGATAGGAATTTCTACAAGTCAGTTTCCTTTAGGTTTTTTTTTTTAAATCAATGGAAAGATGAAATATTAGATTGAAGCCAGATAATAAAAACTGTTTTAAATTCTAACTTACTTGGACATAAAATATCAGCAATCTCAAAGTCATTCACCCGACAGATGGGCAGAAATGAGTCCCTTGAAGATAAATCAAAGAATATTGAAAAGTTTATGGTAAATCAAATATTAAACTGCAGGATATAAACATCTCATTTTCAAAAAGAGATTTCAAAATATATTTCACAATGCCAAAGATCAAGTCAGAAGTCTATTATAATGCATAATCCGATAGCATTGAAATCTACTTTTTTTGATTATGCAAGTGTCCACGCAATACCAAGATGTAGTTATAGATTCTAATAAACAACACATACCCTTGGAGGCACTAAGACTCTAAGAACTCAATATCTTCCACAAACATGCAAATAATTGTAGATTAAAATTTAGAACGTCAGTTAAAATCATCCTGAGATACCACCACAGGTTGAGGCAGTTAGCTTACAATTTTAAATGTGTACAGGATAGAGAAGAGGGAGACTGCAGAAATTCCTTCACACACACACACACACACACGCAAGTCATATCATTAAGAAAGCTTGTCGTTGTTGTCAATGAGCGGATTCTGACTCGTGGCAACCTTGTGTGTTACAGAGTAAAACTGCTCCACAGGATATCTTTGGCTATCATCTTAACAGAAACAGATCGCAAGACTTTTTCCTCCATGTGACTGCTGGGTAGGCTTCAACCTCAACTTTTTAGTTAGCAGTCTAGTGTAAACTGTGCTACCGAGGGACATTTAAGTAAGCTTATTGCAATGTAAATATTAATAAAGACTAAGTAAATAAAACATTCTTTACTCACAGATGAATAAATAAATTGCTGACTGGTAAAAACCCTTCCATTATATGTGGATACATGACTTCAGAGTTCACTGGCATCTAAGGGTAATAAATCACAAAATCAAAGTTACCCACTGATTAGACAAAATGCAAAAAAAGTCAACCTCAAGAAACCTTAATCATGCATTAATATATAACTTATTATCTTTAAATTAAAAAAAAAAAAAGATCTTAGTACAAAATTAGGGCCGTCATTAATACTAATAATGCTAGGCTCTTCAAAAAACATCTAAACTTGTTGACATCAAGTCAATTCTGACTCATAGGGACCTTATGGGACAGAGTAGAACTGCCCAGAAGGTTTCCAAGGCTGTAACCTTTACAAAAGCATACCGCCCTGTCTTCTCCCATGAGGCAGATGGTGGTTTCTTACCACTGATCTTTTGGTGAGAAGCCAAACACTTAACCACTGTATCACCACAGTGGGTACAAAAAACAAACTTTTTAATGAATAACAAAATAAAGGAGTAATAGTAAGAATATGCTAAATATCAGGTACTATGCTAAGGATTTTACATATTCTTTTCTAATTTTATAAAAATCCTGTGAGAAAGTGCTATCTTTATCTCACAGACAAACTCTAATAAGGCTTCATAGCTAGTAAGTGACAAAGGCTTTGATTTTAAGTAATATGAAATCATATTGGTTAGATTCCCAAGGCATTATATTATCAGTGCATCTTCAGATAATTCCTTGATGGTTTAACAATAGCAACAACAAAAAAATAATAAAAATATCTTTCCTATTGGAAATAATAAATCTGCTAAAAGCTCAGTTGGCTCATTCAATTCTATTCACTCATAATGCCTATCTTCTACTGAAATTTCTGAGTCCTTGTTGAGACCAGAGCATTATCGGTGAAGGCTTTGCTTTGTGTTTTACAGTCTCTGAAGACAAACCCGTAAATCTGTGACTAATTGCACACCATCAATAATTGGTAAGTGTTATTTAAATCTTCGACAATAGCTTTCATCTTAGCTTAAATATAATGGGATCAATATAGAGAAACCATTAATAAGCCTAAGATTTTTTTTGCAAATAACATTAACTAATTTTATACAAGTCTTAAATTTGTTAAAAAATAAAATGAAAAACTCCCTACCCTGAAAAGACAGGATGCATTGTAAATAGGAGAAATGCAGCAAAAGAAAAGAATTTTCCTTCATCTTAAACCCACCATGTAGAAATGCTCTAGCCGAATTCCGTACACTATTTGTAAGGCTCTCATGTAGATCATGTGCAAGACTTCAGGCTACAAGAGAAAAACAACTTTCAACTCTGATGCATGACTTGAAAGCCATATCACTATTTATCGTTACTATCCAATACTATAGTCAATGGATGAAAAGAAGAAAAGGGTGACAAAATTATTCAATTTTCCTTGAAATCATTCTTAATTTTTCCAAATCTTAAAATATCTTATGATACTTACCAGTTTGCTCATATATAATAAGTGGTCAATGAGGTCAGTTATTTAAGCTTATATACAGGAGAGCAAGTACATCCAAACCCAATCTAAGTAACCCACCCACCTTAAGAAGTAGAGAAATTAGGGTTACTCTCCCAGAATAGGCTATCAGGCATCTGATAATCAGGGACATTAAGAATTTATTTAAAATAAAGAAAAAGATCATGGGAAATCTTGTTTGATGCCAAAAAAAAAAAAAAAAGCAAACCAAACCTACTGCCATTGAGTTGATTCTGACTCATAGTGACCTCCATTGGGTTTCCAAGGTGGTAAATCTTTATAGAAGTCAATTTCCCCATCTTCCTTCTGCAGAGTGGCTAACAGATTTGAACTGCCAACCTTCTGGTAAGCAGCCAAATGTCTTAGATACTGCACCACCAGAACTCCTTTTGTTTAATGCCTTAGATTAGTTAAAGTTCCAGTGAACACTTTGATCCAGGAAGTATATATTTAACAGGGTGGTATGGGATTTTTAAAGTTTTATCTTCTAAATCAGTGGTTCTCAAATACTGGCCTATGAACCTGCTCTGGTCCATATACAAGTTTATTAGGTGAGCAGCAAAGTGAGAAAAATAGAAAAATTGTTGGCATTTTTTTCATAAACTTATATTTATCCAGTTTAAAGGCCTGTTACTTATTCTGATTATTTGATCCATTTAAAATAATTAAATGGGTACCATGATCAGAAAGTCTGAATTCAATATCATCACACCAGGTTTTACTATGTTATCACTTCAATACCAACACAAGAAACCAGAAGGAAGCTTTGGGATTTTCTATGACACATAAATAGTTCATTTTTGCATTTAATAACTAAAGATATAAAGAACAATGCCTGTCAAAACAAGTCAATTCACCCCAGGGCATAATGCGAGAAAATTAATCTGCAAGCTTCTAAAGAGAATTGTTTCTAAGTACTTTTTGTGGTTGGAAACAATTTGGAATAAGTTCCTTCAAGCTCTACCAATAAACGATACCCCAGACCACCACTCCAATAATAATAATAATAATAAATTTAATATATTTTAATAAGTCTATGGTTCAAAGGCTATGCTTTGAAGAAAACAACCATATAAAAGAACCGACTTCCTAGTGGGAATGTAGAAGTAGACGCACATATAAACTTTGTGTTATTTTTAAACTACATTAGGTGAGAGATTTTCTCTGGATTAAAGTGATTTCCCTATATCAAAGAGTAGAGTGCATGTGGTTTTTTATTTTTTTTGGCCACAGAGCTTACTTTGTTCTCAGATACCTTCACACCACATGTAAACACAATTACATTTTACCTTTGGATTTGGATAAAGATCATTCTTGGAGAGGTTTTTAGCATCAGCTCCTGTTAAGATTTTGTTCCGTATATGAATCAAAATCTCAGCTACATTATACCTGGGGAAAGACAAAGCTTCCATCCTGGGAATGTCCTGCTCGTCTGAAGAAAGAAAACACAGATTAGAAACGTGGAACAACCAGCAGTCCTCATTACCTGGAAGATGACAGATGTAAAAATAAAATTAGAGAATCAAGGTTCATCTATTCATAGTAGTTTTATTTATCATCAAACATCCTAGTAAGATAAACACAAATTTATACATAGCTATAGCCTAAAACAATTTTTAATCTAGAGTGATACAGTTATTTTATGTTAATTTTCCTAATGCTGCTCCCTTCATACAAGAAGAAGGATTTTGGCTGAAAGTTAGATTAGACACCATGTAGATTTTTTCCTCTTGTTTTTCCTAACGTCAGGGAGCAGAAGGTTTAACAAAAGTGATTTGTTTTGATTAATTCTCAAAGCAAGGCCTAAAGGCAACACCATAAGCAGAAGGTATATACAAACAATACCAATGTAGGGTAGATAATAAAATTGAACCTTGATTTGGTATTTGATATTCTATTCAATATACACATGGTGAGATGGCTAATAAGGTTTAAATGCAGGTAGGGAAAGAGACAGAAAGAGAATAGAATGCTGTAATTGGCAGGAACTCCAATTATCAGGAGTCAGAACTTTAAAAAAAAAACACTTTCCCGAATGTCCTCGGATACTGAGTTATTTTCACCAGTGTCCCACTAAAGCAGAAGTTCTCACAATTTTGACACCCAGAGGACATTCTGGCAATGTCTGGAGATATTTTTGGGTGCTAGAACTTGGTGGATGTTACTAATCTACTGCGTAAAGGGTAGAGACACTAAACATTCTACAATGCATAGCATAACTTTCTCACAACAAAGAACTACCTGACCCAAAATTTCACTAAGAAACCTTCCCTAGGGCCTTTTATTTAATACTTGTCATGATCTATTGTGATTACGTTTATAGAACTCTGACACTACATTGTGAGCTTTCATTAAGCTAAGACCTTTTCCTCTTTTCTTATGTCTCTACCTGTGCTTAGCTAAATAGTAGGAGGAGGAGGATAAAAAGAGGAGCAAGTGCTGCAGCTCCACTAAACCAACAAATAACTGTTCTATTTTCCTACAGATTTCCCACTCTCAGGGAAATAGAATCATCACAGAGATCCAATGTGAATCTATTCAGTTTTGCAAACAAAAGGAAATAACTTACAATCCTGGAAATCTATTACTTTTGGTTCTAATATTGCTTAGAATATTAGGGTTATAAAAGAGCTTTAGCAACATGCCTAACCTCTAACAAATGTGGGAATTCAGTCTAAAGATGATTGATAAATGACTTCTCATTTCTGCCTGAACACAGGCAAATATCACAGAACTCTCTAATTCCCAAGGAAACTTTTTCCATTTTAGTGTGGCCCTAATAATGACATAACTCTTCTCATACTGTGCAGAAATGTTTTGTTGTAACTTTTACTCACTGGTCCTATTTCTAGTCAAGGCAACTACATAGAATACATTAAATCCTTTGTTCACATGTCATCACTTTCAAAAACCTGAAGAAAGCTATCATATCTCTACAAAGCCTTCTTTTACCTCTATGTTGTTGTTATGTGCTGTGGAGTCATAGTGGCCCCTCCTTGGGTTTCTGAGGCGGTATCACTACAGAAGTACATTGCCCAACCTTCCTTCTGAGCAGTGGCTGGTGGGTTTGAACCACCAGCCTTCTGCTTAGCAATCAAGTGCCTTAGGCACTATGCTACTAGAGCTCCTACGGTTATTTCTTTACATATAGCCACTCTTTATATGACACTGTTTTATATGACACTGTTTTAGGAACTTTCCCAACCTTTACTCACTTTCTTCCAAAACATACTATTTTATCAATGTCTTCTTAAAATGTAATATCCAAACTAAACACAGTATTTCAGATGTAGTCTACATAGGACATAAGATTAATATAGTAGGCAATAGCCACCACTGAACTAATAGTCATAGTCTATAATTGTCCCACTTACTGGGGGTGGGGTGGGGTGGGGTGGTGGTGGTGGGGTGTGTGTGTGTGTGTGTGTGTGTGTGTAGGAGCTCTGATGGCATAGTGCCTAAGGCATCTGACTGCTAACCAGAAGCCCTTCCTAGGAGTGGCTGGTGGGTTTGAACTGTCAGCCTTCTGGTTAGCAGTCAAATGCCTTAGGCACTATGCCACTATGCTCCTACATATACATAATCATCAATTTTAATCTTCAGAACTGGTTCAACGTGACCACTTAATCCAGGCCACAACCTTCCCTTCTTCTTACATAATTGATTATATGTGAATATAGATTCTTACACCTCACATATTAGATACCCCTTTCTGCATAAATAGACATCTATATTTTCATCTAAACAATAGATTTAAACTGTTGGAAAAAATGATTAGAACAAAGAAAAACTAAAGTCATTTTTCAAAACAGGCTGCATCTGGATTAGAGATTATTTCATTAAAGAAAAAGAGTGGGGGTGAAATATCTTCACTATTAATATCACACATTGTTCTCTCTAATGTCTTGTGCCATGCTATCAGATTAATCCTTATAAAACACTGAATGGATTATGTCACATGTATATAAAAATACTTCACTTACTCACCCTACTCACCATTTCAAATTCAAGTATTTCTGCTTGTTTTCTAAACTCTTCCACATTTTAGTACTCTAATTAACGTTCTGCTCTAAGTTAAGTCTCCTCCGTATTTTTCCTCAGACCTCTATTGTTTGTTTTTGGAATCTCCTCCCACAACCAAACCAAACCCATTTCCATCAAGTCCATTCTGACTCACGGCAACTCTACTGGACAGAGTAGAACTGGCCCACTGGGTTTCCAAGGCTGTAATCTTTAAGGAAGCAAACTGCCTTATCTTTCTCCCACAGAGCGGCTGATGGGTTCCAACAGCCAACCTTTTGGTTAGCAGCTAAATGCCTTAACCACTATGTCACCTGGGTTCCAAATGTCAAAAAGAAAAAAAAAAAAAAATAACAAAAAACATAAATAAAAGCTTAAATTGACTAGCTTCACTTCAAATATCTTCTCCTATAATCCATGCTGCATCAGATAGCACCCATTAGTTTTGTTATTTCTGGAGCGAAAAACAACTATAAATGAACTATGAGCTCTCCCTTACCTCCCAAGGTCCAGAATCTCCAGCCTCTTTCCCAGCACTCCACAGAACAGAAACACTATAACGCTAAGCGTCCTTTCTCCTGCCCGCGTTTTCGGAGAGCGAGGGCGCCCTCAGTCTCCCTTCCTTCGCCCTTCTGCACCCGTTCAAGCTCATCAAACGCCCAAAGGAAGGTGGCAAATTTGGGGAGCAGTTGCAGACAAAGCAAAAAACCAACAAATTTCAACCGTTGTCAATTTTCAAACTTGCCGCCTCCTACTGGAAGTCCTGCCCCCTTCCGTCCCGCCCACTTCCTACGCGCCAGTCGCGCCGGGTGCCGGTAGGGCTCAATAGATGTAAGGCGCGTGGTTTTGCGTGTCATGGGAGAAGGTTGAGCTAAGGAGCAAACAGTTTTTCACTGACTCAGAGTCTGGTCGGAATCTCGATTCTGAAAAGTGAAAGCGCCGCGATTTAGAGAATGAGACCCGGTTTGGGCTCTCTGCGGGGTTGTTCCGAGTTCCTACAGACCTTTGGGCACGGGCCGAAGAGTAAAAGTGAACGGAGGGTTTCAGGGTCCTTGGTCAAAGCTCAGGGTGACAAGGGAAAGAGGACGTGGGGTTCTCAGTGGCACAGGGGTTAAGTCATAGAGTCCGAGAGTAATAATAATAATAGGAATATTTGGCATGATCTCATTTAGGCTTCATTAAAAGGGAGTTGGGATGCGGTTATTATTATCCTTTTTACAAATGAGAAATCTGAATCGCAGGGAGATTATACACCTGCGCCTAGCGGTGCACAGTAGTTCCCAAGTAATATAGCCAGAATGTGGAAAAAGGTCCTTTGATATTGATTTCATAAGCACGACATTGAAAAGTGGAAGAAATCTTAACAGATCATCTTGTCAAATCTCATTTTCACAGACAAGAAAACCAGGACTCAGATATAAGTGATTTCCCTCCCCTCCCCAAATTACATAGTAAGTGGCACTCCCTGGAGTAGAATCCAGGTCTCCTCATCCTAGGTTCTCGCTCCCTCCAGTCGTCCTTCTGCAGGAACCAGGAGACCCGGGTGCTTTCCACTACGGAACAATCTTCCACATTTGCCTGTGCTGGAGTGATTGGAACTTTCCAGATAAGAGATCCAGAAATCTCTTTTTCACATGGGTTCTCAAATAAGAGTGGAAGCGCCACACTTTATGTATTACAAGTCAAATAAGACATAACAGAGGAAAAGTCATTAAATTCTATGGAGGTTTAGAATACTAGAGGACACTACAGTACTTATATTTGGTTACCTGATGAGGATTGTACAGTACATGAAAAATGTGGACTAAATGAAATGAAAAATAATACTACAAAGGGAGAGTTGAAAATAGACACAAATTCTGGTACTTTATTTTGTGAGCTAAAGGACTATACCAACTGGTATAGAAGTCTAGACCAGTTCTAAAATAAAAACACATCTTATATTCAGTTATTTAAGATTTTTTTCTCCCTTCCTATGTCTGTTTAGTGATGCAAGTCTTAAAGCCAGAATCTAGTAAAATTCATAAGTAGGTTAGGAAAATAGAAAAATATCAGAGAGTCAGTGAGGGAAGGAGAGAAAAAAAGACACCTTTCTCCTTTGCACTTGCTATATCAAATTGATGGTGTAGTGTCTAAGGCATTTGACTGCTAACCAGAAGGGTGGTGGTTCAAACTCACCAGCCACTCTGCAAAAGGAAGACTGGGCGATCTACTTCTGTAAAGATTTACTGGAAACCCAAAGGGGGTCGCTATAAGTTGTAATCTATTCCATGGCAGTGAGTTTGGTTTTGAGTTTATCCATGTAAAAAGTAGCTGCAACAATGAGCTCAAACATAGCAACAATTGTGAGAATGGTACAAGACCGGGGAGTGTTTTGTTCTGTTGTACATAGGCTGGCTATGA